TACCTGACAAAGTTGAACTATGTGGTGAATAAATAAACTCACCTGCGCACTTGCTTTCTCCAGTGGTGCTCCATCTTGTTGCATGATATCTGGTGTAACACTGAGCATGAAGATCAGATGCGTGAGCGAAGTGAAGAACCAGCTCTCATTAGATGAAAGGAAAATATATCGCTTCGTCACCACTGAGGACAAGGTGTCCAAAACAGACATTTGAACTGAAAAGAAGAATATGTGATTTAGAAATCATTTTCCTATTCTGGAATGTTGTTCTTCGTGACATATTTCCTTGCACAAGATCATCCACACTCATTTAGGAACCCCTCCTTCCCCTCACCCCTCAGTGCTCCTGTCTAAGTCTTGTGAAAATGAAGCTACAATATAACGACTTTTGATAATACTGGCTAAACCACAAATATTGAAAGCTGTTCAAGAAAAGAAATCTGCGACCCTAAAATTCGCTGGTGTTTCTATCGATCAACATAAAAATTTCTCAGAAAAAAAGATTGATGCTAAACAGTTTCAAAAGCCCAAAGGTGGCAATCCACTTACTCTGCACATTTTCAATCGGTCTGCTCAAGATGTAAAGCACACACCGCATTATGGACGATGTCAAGCTGTCCAGATTGATCTCCTCAAAATTAATGCATTAGGTCAAGTTAGATAGGCAGCAGACACTGTACCCTATTCTCCTTGCGACTAGCGATGCCGTACACGCTGTAGAGAAGCTGGAGCAATCTTAGCGACTCTCCAACCAGCAGCCCATTCCAAAGACAATCTACTGCTCGCATCGCCATATAAGAGATGTTGACACCCACCTATAAACAGACAATGATAATACGGAAAGCCGAACAGCGATCGAAAACGCTGACCTGAGATAACGATTGTGGTGGAGCATTTGGTGGTAAGGATGACGAAACAAGCAAATCCGTACTTATCAAATGGTCAAAGACCTAAACATAAAAAAAAATAAGCAGGCGTAGAAAGAGTAGCTGAAAAACCGAAGAACCTACACCATGGACAAGCGCAGTAAGCACATGAACTTGGAACTTCCTTGTGTAACCATTTTCCGCAACACTCTTAAAGCGATATATAAACAAAAAGGCAATGAATTATTCGAGTGAAGTGACAACAAACCTCTGTAATTACATCTATCAAGCTGTCAGCTCGTCCACCAGCTGCAACTTGGAAGTCGTCGCAGAAAAGTTTCTTCAGGAAGTCCAGCACGGCTTTCACGCTGGAGAGCGAGAGAACTAAATAAAGTAACTGGAGTGCACAACAAAAAAAAA